CTCCCCCAGCCCCGTGAATTTCTTTTCATATCGCAACAGGCGAGCAGCGCGCGCATTCTGTTGGGTCGCTTTGTCACGTCGGGGTGGATAAGAAGTAGGATTGGTTCTAATTTTATTTTTCTGAGTCGGCGCGGTGACCAGAGACCCGCTCGCCCAGCGCTCTGTGCGTAGGGCGGTTGTTACCGCGGAGAAGAGGGCCCCCACCGGTATTACGGACGTATAATGAACCCGAGCTAAATGGAAAAGAGTAAGGTTAACTCCATTACACGCTCTCACTCGCGCAGACCACACCCGTCCGAGACCGACCGCAGCGCAGAGGGAGTATAGTAGGGCGGAAGTGAAGAAGAGGCAAAACCAGCGAAACGTTTGCGGTGACTGGCGCTGATTGGGTCGAGATGTAGTCGAAGCGGCGGTCTGTTTGTTTGAGGAGGCGGTCTGATTCCCTCCCGCGAGTGGGTGCGAGGATGAGGGTGTGCAGACATTCTGAATCCGGATGTGTGCCGAGCGGTTTCGGGACTCCCGCTCAACCCGCGGGATGAGGACATACAAGCGATATGGAGGAACGAACATTCGCTCTGCCGGTGGTGCCGACCGGCGCCGGCGGCCGGTGTGCATTTACCGCACCTTAACCCTCTGTGCTCGGCTCGGGCCTGAGGCTCAGCAGCACACCGGCCCGCCTGTCCACGCCCGCTCGATCCCTGATCTCAAACAACAAACACCCCACACTCCAGGGGCTGGGGTCCCTGTCGGCGGCCTCACACCCTCAGCCTTTGTGCTGGCCGTGGGGCCGACAGGCCGACAGGCCGCCAGGCTCGAACCCTGCTGTAAAACAAAATCGTCTGACATTTCATCATGGATTTGTTTATCAGAGCTGGGGTGCCATGCTTGTAGAAACACCAGCTGAGAACTCCAAAGGGACGACGCTTGTCTCTTGTTTTCGCATGACACGTGGCGTGATCCTGGATAAGGTAAGATCGTCCCCGCAGCCCAACCCAGAACACCTTAGGGATCATCCAGAAAGTACGTCCGCCATATTCGCCTCAGCCTGTGCAAGCTCTGATAGCGCCTGATAGGTAGGCAACATCTTGCCTGGAGGGCTTGCGTGTACTGCGGGATGGCCTACCCCGCTGTTTGTAGGCGCCGAGCTCCCGCCATTTGCCGAATTCATCTGAAAAACCGAAGTACTTTCTGGACGATCTCTCCACGGTCCCGTGCACTCATGTAGGTTCGTAACACAGATCACTGGGTGCAAAACTGACGGCCGTCATTCCTTTTGGATGACGGACATCAGTACATCAGTACAAACGGGATGCACATCCGCCATTATAAGAAGCAGCAGTCTACCCGCCCACGCCGCACCGAATGCAATAGACAAGCGTCATTCTGGAGTCATCAGTGCACTGAAAAGAGAAAGGTGCGGATGCGGTTCTACATTTAAAAGGCACTAAAGATTTGGTGCCTTTTCCGGTCATTACAAATGCACTAGAACTGCTAAAAGCACTAATTTTTAGCACCTAGTTCAGGGCTGCTCTTAGTGCATTTATAGAGGGACGTACCTGAAAATTTCTGTATTGCCCCTGGACAGGCACGACTTATGTTAGCACCTTTGTTTTTTCAGTGTGGAGCCTAGAGCCATGATATTATAATGTTGAAAACAATTTTCTTTTACTGTGAACCGGACCGGCATCGACTCTTTCTTTTTTTATCATTTCAATGTGAAAGTGTTTCCATGTGACGGCCCGTTGCATCATGCATCTGACCACGGAAACGCAGACCGGGGGATCGATGCGATGAGTTGGAGTGGCAGTGGCACCTCACCTCGCCATCGACCCAGCCGGGTGCTCCAAACAAGGCCGACTTGTCCTCGGCCGACAATTGTTTGCACTCGGACACAGCTGGGTGGGTAGGGGTCCCGCTGCACCCACTTACTTCTTTATTTTAGCACTTGGCGCGATATAACATTTCGAATGAATATCCGCTTGGTTTGCGGTTTTGCTACAGGAGCCGGCATTGCCAACGACAAGTTTGCTGCTCTCTCCTTGTGGTCTCGGACGCTGCCGGTCGTGCCTCGGGTCGTGCCCAGCGGTCTCCCTCCACAGCCCGCAAGGCCGGCGTGCAACGGTCACCCCACCACTGCTGGCTGAATTATTGAGTGTATTGGGGCTTTACCCCAGGGAGAGAGAAGGGCACTGGCGCGCCAGGTCGTCGTCACATCCTCGTTCTGCCGCCGCCACCACCACCACACGCCGCCAGCCCTCTCCTGCCCTCCTCAAGGCGCCAGAATCAATCCATACGTGTTCAAGCAGAAGGCCCGGCGGATGGAGCAGGAAGTCGATAGGGGGCTGCCGCCGCCGACCTGCCACCGAGCTGTCGCCACTCCACACCACACGCCACTCACCTATAGTAGTGTAGATGGTGCCGCAGTAGAACACGGCGTTCCACAAGGTCCAGGTCTTCCCGACTCTCATGCCCTCGCCGTTTCTGAAGTGTTCCTTTAGCTTGAATTCGAACTGCTCCAGCTCCTGGTGGGCCTCCGTTTTCCACAATTCCCGCTGCTTCACAAGCGCCGTGTTCTGCGCCCTCTTGTACATCTCCTCGAGGAAGGTGGCTCGCTCCTCGTCCATCTGGTCAAGGTAGCGCTTCTGCGAACAGAACGTCATCCTACTTTCAATCCCACCGAGCTCGTTAACACGTTTAGTGCGGCTGTGCATTGTGGAGGTTAGACAACCAAGCGAAATGTGCATGAATGTGTTAAGTGTTGGGGTGCCCCACACTCGTCCGATTGTCCGTCCCCCCACTAAGCTTTAATAAAACGATAAGAAGGGCTGCTATTACCTCTCAAGGCTCTCCCCTCCCCTGGCTCTTCCCTACAACACTGATAAAACGTAGAGCGACCTTTCTTTCCCGAATAGAGCGACGTATAGGCTTCATTGCTCTGTTAGATCGATTTTTGCTAAATGACTCGACACAAGTCTTCTTCGTGAATAATATCGCAGAAACGACTCTAAACGAGCGACGTTTGCGAAAATGACTCAAAATGAGTCTTATTCGTAACCAAAAAATATCGCGAAAGTTACTCCAAACGAGCGATGTAATCAATATCGCTCCCCCAAGAGTCATAAAATTGGATTCACAATATCGCTCTATTTGGATCGTATTTGGTCACTCCTTTACTTGTAGTGAAAGAGGACTCCGAGGTGTCGTCAACTCCGATATTCCTTCGAATATACCGATATAACATCGATATTACTCATATTATTGGCGATATAAATACCGGATAACACTGCAATATTACAGATATTACGCCAATATAATAATATTACTTCAATATTACTTTAATATCACTTCTTACTACCAATAATGAGTGTAATATTCCTTCGTGCACACAGACAATGGGAGTTGACGGCCCTTCGGAGGGTTCTCGTTTTAACGAGGCACCATCTGCCATCTGTGACATTCCGTGACGGCTGCGATCCGATCGGCAGGCGCGCCCGGTCAGGGTGCCAGCCGCAGTGAAAGTGAGCGCTCTACAACAAGGTCGCCCCCTAGCTACTGGCTCGGCCCATACCGCTGACGAATATAGTAGTCGGTTTGGCAAAACGGGGCTGAAATCAGAGAGTCCTGTATTATGCTATGCTGCCTGTTGCTTGTGCGAAGAGCGGCAGCTGGCCGACATGGGACGACCCTCGAGCACGCGAAGACACGACCAACGATCAGCGAGCATGTGTGCACACTGTCCACTCGCCACCGTACACCGCCCGGCGTGAGGGAGGCGTAGGGAGTATACAGGGGACTATGTCTGAAATTCCGCGGTTTCCCAAAACAAAACAGCAAACAAATATAATAAAATCGACGTTCAACTCCCCCGCCCAGACAGGGAATCCAAAAGAGTGCGGATGGCAGAAAGGAGGCTGAGGAGGAGGGGAAGATGAGGGAGACAAAGGGAAGCGTGATTCCGTCAATCGACACACAACCCTTCGTATTAATACGATCCATCGTCCCCTAAAAAGGAAGTCTCCAAGCGCTGTCCGCTGGTCCCCCGGTGGGTCCACATCCTTGGCCGTCACCCCTGCCCGGCTCAGCCCGCCTGTGCCAATGGTCCTAATGAGACGCGGCCGGCCTTGGGCTCCGGTCGGAGCTGCGTGATTAATCAGAGCAAACAGGAGCAGTCGTTGTGAGCGCCGCCCCAACCCGCGCCTCTTCATTCTTCAACGCGCTTCGTTCTTTTCGCTGTTATTTTCTCCCCTCATTTATTTATATATGTCGCGAACGTAAAACGGTTTCTTTGTTCTCTCCCGCCCCCTTCCGCGCGCCCTTGACTTTTTTTCTTTTGCTCCCAGCCGGCGACGCTGAACTTGAAACACGGGAAGCAGCATTGCCGCTCGCCTCGCGGCGCCCGCTCGCCCGCCCCCGCC